TTACCTATACAAGGATACCGGTGTCCAAAATTCCTCACTATTTACAGGATCAGCTGGGAACAATACGAATTTAGAGGCTGTAATCCGTTGTTTAAGTAAAACCAGTTTTGTTTAACGATGAGCATAAACTTATTTAAAATATGTGGAAGGTAAATTGACTTGTTTACTATATTAAAATATTTTCCCAATATGAAAGTCTCTGTAACACAGTATGTTCTCTTCGGTGGTGGGAGGAGGAATGCTGAACTGGAAGGGCTCTGAGTAGCAGAAATTTGGCTGCTGCAATGGGAACTGTGGTATATGATGTTGATTCATTTGTCGTTGGTCTCCGTAGGCAAGGCTGGAGAAGCCTCCATATGTGCTTAAATCCTGCTGCTCGTGGAAAGGAAGCGGTGGTGCTGGAAAGCTTGGATCTGTGCTGGCAGAGCAGGTGGAGCTGTGGTGGTGGGCTCTGAGCTGTGTCCTGGTTGTACCCCCGTGCTCCTGCCCTCCTGCCTGTGAGGGGTGGCAGTGCTTATGGATCATCCCTGTGCCCTGGGGGCACCCGGAGCCAGGGCAGGTCTTGGCCGGGCGGTTCCTGATGTGCCCTGGGCGGCCTCTCCTACCAGTGTTTGCCTGCCCTGTAGTCTTCAAAAATGTTCCATTCCTTGAGCAAAAAACTGGCCTTTAATGACTCCGGGATGTGGGATATCAACTAGGAAACCATAAGAGCTGTGTTGTTCCAGGCTGCTGCTTTCCAGGTGGATGGATTTGGCTGAATCAGTGAGGCTGCCAGGCTGTGCTGCATCCCTGTGAAACAATCCCAGCAGTTCAGATCCCCTCTGCTGAGGGATAAGATGTGCTGTCACGCAGCGTACGTATTTCAGTTGTGCAGATCACGAAGGTACCATAAAATATGGCACTTGGTGTTTGAAAAGAGCTGTTTTGTACCGAAATCAGGGTGTTTGGGGCCGTGGTGCTGTGTTAGGGCTGTGTCAGCTGGGCATTGTCTTTACAGCGTTCTTGGAAGGTAGAAGCGGGAGCTTGCAGGGAGAGAGTGCTTTGGGATCTTCTTTTCACCCTCCTTGGCAGTTGTCTGGAGCAGGGAAGGCTGTGTGTTGTTAGAACGAAAAGCTGCTGGGGAGGACAAAACGATCCCGCTTAGTCACTTCAGCCAAAATGGGATCAGTGCCACCCTCCTGCGGGGCAGGTGGAGGAGCTGGAGAGGGGCTGGAGCCCGAATATGCACAGCAGCAGAAGGCTGAGCTGTCCCGGGGCAGCACCAGCTCCTGGACACCCCACGGTGTCTGTTCTGTGACTTTGGTTCCCTGCTGGCTCTGCCGGCAGTGGGTTCATCCCTGTCCGTGGGGCTGCACACGCCCGCGGTAGCTCTGGGTCCTGGTGACAGCGGTGCCATTTGCTGTCCTTGGGATACACCTCTGGTTGCAGGGGAAGGTTTCTGCAGCTCCTCGAGGGAGGAATGAGTGACAGAGAAACAAACCAGGCTCGTTGTGGTGCCAGTTCAGTTTAGGCTGTTCCTTGGCTCGGGTGCTAAACGCAGAACCAGTTGGAAGTGTCTCTGAGAAGGAGCTCATGTTTATCTCGTAAAACCTCTGGAGATAAATAAAGCTGGGTGGGATGACACAGATCCTGGGATTTCTCTGCTCCTGGCCTGCAGCTTGGGCACTCTGTAGTGGCTCTGAGTGGTGCATCCAACATGTGCTGGTTTCCAGGGCCCCCTGACATCCTTCACTTTAACTCCAATTGCTCTCAGAAGACTCATCGAGCCGTCTGCGTGGCGCGGGAGGGAGAGGAAGTGAGTGGAATGAAATGGGCTGCGTGGCCCTCTTCCAACCTGCCCTGGAACTGCCGAGAGATGCCTCGTACTTGGGAGCAGGAACAACCTACAGCTCTTTACCTGGTTTGTGGGTTTGGGGGCAGAGGATCTCTGGGACAGTGCTCGGATCTGTGGATCAAAGGGAACAGGCCCTTTCCTGATGGCTGCCTCCCTTACTGCTGCTAAAAATAGTTGATGAGCCAGTACAAGGATGGTTGTGGCTGTCTGCATTCCTGGAGGAAAGTGCAGGCTTGATGAGTTCCCAGACTGTGTTTTTGCATCTTCTCCTCTGCTGACAAACAGATCTCACTGAAATGCTGCTATTTCTGTACCTGTTACAACTGGCTTTGGAACATCCCGTGGCCTTACTCCGGTTGTACTGAGCCAGGGAGGGGAGGTGGCCTGGGGGAGATGCAGGAGGATCACGGGCTGCCAGCCTAAGGGCCAGGCAGCTCAGGTGATTTGGTTTTCCAAATCTCCAGGGCCCAGATTCTCCAGCTACAATCTGTTCCCCATCCTTTCCCTAGCCAGGCATCGTAGCCCTCTGGAGGCAGACGTGTTCCCGTCAGGATGCTGCTGCCAGGATGCTGCTGCCAGCCCGTGATGAGCCCGTTGCTGCGCTTGTGACTGTCATCATGACAGACTGTCGAAGAAATTGGTGACTAAGTACACTTTGCAAATACTTCTAGTGACAAAAAGGGCTCATCTAGACTGGTTTCTAGGTGTAAGCTAATTTAAAGTTCAGGGTATTAGGGATTTCTTGGGAAGTAGGTTGGCTGCAACAGAGAACAGCTTGGACTGGGAATTTTTGCATTATGTTGTACTGAGAGTGTCATCTGCATCCCAACAGAATTGTTTTAGTGCCCTTAAATGGTACAGTCACCAGTCTGGGGTAAAGCTGAGGTTTAAAAGGCCATTGGTTGTGTAGTCTGTTGTGTTACTTCAGCTCCAGTTCAGCCTTTCCCTTCATTGCTCCTCAAAAAAATAAAAACATTCAGTTCACTTGGTGTGATTGTATCAGGCAAGACAAGGCACAGGGTGGTGTGTGGCTTCCTAGATGGAAATGGCTGCAACCCCATGATCCAGGATGTTGTTTCCTTAGCACTGCTGGGGAGGATTATTCCCTTCACACAACTGCTGTCCTGCATGTTACCTGCCAAGAGAATGATGCCAAATTCCCAGCGTGTGTGGTGGTGTGGAAGGGAGATGGCTGAAAGTCAGTCTGGGTGAAGGGGCTCCTCAGATGTGAGGGAAATGCCCTTTGCTTTAGTGAGAAAAGGAAGCTGACAAGTCTCAGGACTCCTGACTCTGGGATGCTCCTGTAAAGGCATGATAGCTGTAAGCACACGGCTGGAATTCTGGCATCTGCACTTCCATTTTTTTACTTCGTTTTTTTATTGATTAAACATGACGATAATTCTGTAATGCCAACTTTTCCCCCAGGCTTTGAGTCTCTGTATCATTTAGGGCCTGAGTTGCAGCTTTTTGTCCTCTAAGAGCCTTTAAAGAATTGTGGCAGAGGGAGGAGAGGGTGTTTGTCCAAACCTCCTGGGCTGTCTCCTTGCAGGCAGGTGCCTCTGGCTCACCCGTGTTGATTGACATTCAATACTTGCCCTCTGCCTGTGCACACTGGGCTTGTCCCAGTGAGCCCTGTTTGTTCAAGGAGAGCATCTGGTGTAACTCACGTGCAGAGGGACCAGAAGGAAGGGGAAAAGCTGGAAGAAGAGTTAGTGGAGCGTGTGATGCGCTCCAGCAGCTGGCTCCAGTTTCCATCTCTAAGAGCTCCCTTTTCCCCACGCACATTCTCTCGTGGGCTCAGCTGATGCAATGCACGTCAGCTCAATCCCACATTCCTGGGCCGTGTTTCTGACAGGGAGGTTTGGCTCAGTCCAGGAGCGGAGCTGATGTGGTGTAGCCATGACGGCAAAATCAGGGGCTGCTTCTGGGCCTCGGGCATTTCCCTCAGGGAACTCCAAGCTGGTCTCAGTGGCTGCTCTGGGGGGAGTTGCCAATGGCTGGCTTTGAGTCCTGGACCTGCCGGAGCGTGTGGAGAAGGGAATGGGGTAAGAAACATAGCCAAGCTGGAGTGTGAAGCTAAGGAGGTGAAGTTGGTTTCTGGTTGTTCCACGGGTGTTGGAAGGCAGTTTTGGGAAAGCCCTGTGTCTGGTCAGCTGCTGTAACTGCCCTGGGATGGTGGGAGCAGGAAGCGGCCGCAGAATTCCCAGAATCGCCTGCCAGTGGCTGCTGAGCCCGTGAGCTGGTCGAGCTGTTGCTGCACAACCTTTCCAGGGAAGGCAGTAGGCAGTGTCCTGAACTTCCCAGCAGTGCTGTATCCTGCTGCTGCTCTGGGCCTCTCACTGACTTAGGAAGTGCTAACTGCTGTATTATGCACTTAAAATACAAAACCGCTGACTAAGTGCCAGCCCCCTCTGCCATCTGCAACCAGTTTATTGGAGGGGGACTGGTGGGGACATCAGTGAATTGTTCTGTTATTTGTACTTCTAGAGACTCGGTAGGGCTTTACTGCTTAGTGACCTGGGTGTGCTCTTGCTGCAGGTGTTGGACTTGCTGAGGTGGGAATGGAGAGCTGGAACTGCTGTCAGGGTTTTATATTGTTGCCTCCCTTAGTAATTGCTTTGGGAACAAGTATCTCCAACTTTGTCCAGATGTATTTCTGTCCTTGGCTCGAGGTGTTTTAAATTGGTCTCTTTATACAAGAGCTGACTCCCTGGTCTGGGATCAATTTTGATAGTTTTAGCTACCGAGTTGCTGTGTTGCAATTGATGGTACATTTTACCAAGAAGAAGAGTGTCTAGTGGCAAGCTGCTCCTTTGAAGGCAAAAGCATTCTGCCTGGGAGTGCTGCTGCTTCCCTGGGGTCTGGAAGAGCTGGAATAACTTCCACCAAATCCCTGAGCTGCCAACACGTTTGCTTGTGAGGAAAGTGCAGTGGTGATGAGGTGGTGGCTTTGATGCCTCAATGAAAAAGTGACCCTTGTCTTCCTGGCATCGCTGCAGGAAGCTTTTGGGTGAGGGAGCTTAGCTAGCCCAGGAGTTCAGCACTTCCCGAAAGGATCAGCACTCTGAACTGGAGCTGTTCCTCTAAAAAGAAGAGATTACAGGTTCAATTCCTAAAACTCTACATGTGGAAACTCTACATGTGAGAAACAGTAAGAAACAGGAGGTTTTTCCTCATTCCAACTTTTATTTCATATAAATAATCCCTCTACATCAGATTTGTCAACTTCTCAGTCTTTTCTCTCACCATAAAAGAAGCAGCAGCTAAGCCACAGTTGTCTGAAAAATCACAACCCAGGCACCAACCAAAGTGCATCGAGCAAAGTGTTAATGAGCAGGAAAAAATTACACTTGGAACAGGCACAACCTGCCCAGCCCCATCCCTGGAGCCTGGATCCAGACTCAGTCCTTCCTGGGCATCAGTAGCTGCAAAGTCACTTGGCTTTGCAGGAGGAAAAGGAGGGAATGGAGGAACAGTGATGGTTTTCCTTTCAGAACAGTCTAGGGCAATAAGGTTTCCTATCTCTCCAGCACAGTGCTGGACCAGGGCAATGGGAGATCCCTGCCTGGCTGTGTCTGACTGCTCTGGAGTGCAGCAGCTCCTGAGCTGAGACTGTGTGTTCCATGGACCAGGAGGCAAAGTGGCTCCTGGGAAATGCTGGTAATGACTCAGGCTGACTGGACCAAGAGTGAGGTCAGAGACCTGATGTACAAAATAATAATAAATTAACAAACTAAACAATTGTAAGCAGGCTTTTGAGGCAGTCAGATAAGGAAAATGAGCGTTTAACAGTGATGGAGGAGCTCCAGGACCTGGAGCAATTTTACAATCTTTTATTTATCTGCTGAGTAAATCCAAATAAACCCATCTGGGCTTTGGTGGGGTGAAGATGTTTCTACTGATAAAACACAAAGGCTGCACGCTCTGTTTCTTGACAATACCTGGTGTGAAGCCAGTAAACTCTCCTGAATTTGGCATGTGGAAGAAATTCCCAGGCTTGTGCTTCACGGTAGGTGCTGTGGGTCTGTCATAAACCAAATGTTTATGTGTGCAAATATTAGTTTATGAAAGCAGCATTGAGTATTTCAGTCCACTTGTGCCAGCCTGGTCTCCAGGGCAGTCTGGCAGCCTGGTCAGAGCAGGTCCTGCAGGGCATTCCAGGCAGTCTCCACACACCCAGCCCAGGGACTTTACTCTGGCGTCAGGTTTTACAGCAGCACCTCCAAGGCGATGCCCTCTCTGCTGTGTCGTTCCCATGTCAGAAATCCTGCTGTGTTATCCCCTGTGCCTTCTCCTTAACTGGTAGCTGTATTCCAGCTAGGTCCCAGCTTGCTGTGACTGGAAATCCAAGCAGCTGGAATTGCTGCACGTTTGTGCTTGTAAATGCTTCTCCAGATCCTGCATTTGAAAGGTGTCTTTAAGGCCAGCTCAGAAGGTCTGTGGAGCAGCTTCCAGAGGACTCCTGCCCTCTTAATTCAAGCACAAGGCTACAGAAGGCACAACCAGGCAGGTGAAAGCTGATAGGAAGTCTTGGGCCTCCAGGTCCAGTGTGGCCTGGGTCCTGCTGGCACTGCTCTGGGCAGTGTGGTGTAGGAGGAGATTGCCCTGCTGCAGGGGTGCCCTGTTACCAGTGCCCTTGGGAAGCGGGCACAGTTTGCTGAGCTGTGCCCACCCCTGCTCAACCCAAGACCCCCTTCCTTGGCACACAGCAGTGTTCTGATGTGCTCCTCAGCCTCTGGCAGGGGAGAGCTGGAGGCTCTTCAGGGAGGAGATGCTGGGGGGCATCTGTGCTTGGCACATGGAGTTGTGTGCCCCATGGCTGTGCTCCATCCATCCATCCATCCATCCACAGCCCTGCCACTACTGTACACCTCTGCCAACACTTCAACCACGTGCAAACCTCTAGTACCAGAGCTCTGAACGCTATTTCTGCACCCACCTATGAACTACACCCTCACACACCACCCCTTCCCGCTGCTCCAGGCTCTGGCACAGCCCTGACACGGGCAGGTCCCTCCAGCCTCCAGGGCAGAAAACTGTGCCCAGAAACCCAAACCTTAACTCTACACAGAATTAGTCATTAAATTAAATAAAGTGCATCCAGTAGACATTTCCTTGGCTTGCCACGCAGCTGCAATATAGGCCAAACAAATAAAGAGATAAGTGATGGTGGTTTTTGCTGTAGGGTGGGAGTGTGGGCACCCTTCCCTGTCCTCTGGCAGATGGAGAGGGAAGGGGGATGCCAGAACTGTGAGTGGGGTGGTGCTGGGCACAGGGCAGGTGCTGAAAGCTGATTTCATAGAAGGTAAAAGAGTGAGGACAAGCTTGTGCTCCTCTTCTCTTCTCCTCCACCGCCTCCAGCACGTTATCCTGCGAAAGGAGAGCAGAGACAGCAGTGGGATTATCAGTCTCCAGGGAACTGCTGAGGTGTAAATTAAAATGTCTGCTGAGTTCCAACCTGCCCTTCCTGCACGGCTGGGGCTGCCTGGGAGGCACCGCTGGGGCATAACCCAGATACCTGCTGCCAAATCCGACGGGAGCAGGGGGGGCTCCGCAGCCCAGGGGATGAGCTGACTGTACCAGTCTGGATGGAACACTCCCAGTCCTCCTCTGGGACAGGTAGGACTCCTTTATTCTTTCCTTACATCTCGGGAACAACAGTCCTGACATGCTTCTGTGTGTGCTGGAGCAAAAGGAGGGGCTGGCTTCCGTGTGAACCTGGCTGGGGGGTGCAGCCCTTGTGTGCCCCAAGGGCAGAGGGTGAATCAGCTTTCCCTAGTGAAAAACTGTCCCATGTCTGGAGCCTGCTGTCCTGGAGCTGCCTCCAGCCCCAGACACACTGATTTTAATTGGGAAAGGCAGACTTTTTATTCTTCTCTGGTTGCCAGATGCTTGGGTGCTGCTCAGAATTGCTGAGCTGGCATTTTCCTGCCTCCATGTTTAAATCCACAGCTCTGCTTTTGCTGATGCAGATTTCAGCACCCAAAGCTCCCGAGAAAGGTCAGGGAGGGGATATAAAAAGAAAAACAGATGAAACCCTGCGAAGGCAGGAGAGGCTGTAGGAAGCTTGGCTTGCATAAAAAAGAAACCTCTCAAGGAATCATCTAAGGACACAGCCACGGATATTTAATAAGGAACTGCTCTGCAGCCAGACCCAAGGTACTGACACAGCCAATGCCATGTACAGCTCAGAGGAGATTGCTGCTGGAGACATTATTCCTGGTCCTGTCTGTGTGCAGCAACCAGGGCTGGCCTGTCCTGCTGCTGAGGGTGTCCAGCTCCACATGAGCAGGGACAGCTTCCAATAGAACAGAAGTGCTCCAAGCCCCGGCCGACCTGGCCTTGAACACTTCCAGGGATGGGGCAGCCACAGCTGCTCTGGGCAACCTGTGCCAGGGCCTCACCCCCCTCACACGGAAGGATTTCTTCCCAGTATCCCATCTAAACCTGCCCTCAAGGTCATGAGACATCCTCTAGCACAGGCCATTGGACATCCCTGAATTAATTCCTATTTTAATGAGAACTGATTTCTTTGTCTAGATTTGCTGGTAGCAAAATTATCACTGCAATCCTTGGTGAGCTTAAACCTGTAAAGGCAGTCTGTGCAGATCCCTGTGGGAGCTGGACATTATCTTGAACTCCTCTTCATCTGGGTTTACATTAGGAGGGTGAACACAGGTGGCTGAGGTGTGGGCACCTGCTCCCTCCTGGAGCTCTGGGATAGCAGAAACAACTGCAGGATCCAAGAGCAGCTCCGTTTCCAGTGCTGGAATGGCAGCAGCTCATCTGGCAGAGCCCTGAGTTGTGTTTAGGTTGTTAAGCTTCAGTAAGTGGCCCTAAGGAGGTCCCTGCTCCAGCCATGGCATGCTTCCAAGTCATCTGTCCCTGACAGGTGGCCACCTTTTCCTGATTTTCCCGTATTTATTCCTGTGTTTCTCCAATACATTGGTCTCTGCCCCAGCATTGTGTTCTGGCTTGGATGTTTCTCCCCCTTTGCTGGTGTTCGCTACCCCTGTATTTACAGAGATCACGACTCCACTGCTTTCTGCCTTCCTTTTCCTAGACTAAACAACATTCCCTCACCAGCTCTGGAGTCCTTCCCTGTGTGTCCTGAGTCTCCTGCACCATTCTCACAGAATCCCTGTGTGTTCCTGTGTTAACAGTATTTTCCCATATCGCACCACGGGAGAAGTTTCCATCACTCCAGAGGTACAGAGACAATCCCACTCCCTGGCTCTCCAGGAGGACTAAGCTCTCTGCTGTGGTGGCACTCAGAGGTGCTCTGGGAATGCGAAATGCCCATGGCATGACAGTGGGCTCCAGAGGGTGCTGTGGGCTGCAGGAAGGACCAGGGAGGCCGGTGCTATTCCAGGCAAGCCCTTGACCCTGCCAATCCCAGGCCAGCTCCCAGGACGTGCCAGCAGATGGGATTTCCTGTCTCCTGAACCTCGAGGAAGCCGGTTGTGCTTCCGCAGCTCCCCGGCTGTGCTGGGAAGTGCTGGTCCGTGCTTGTGCTGCTTCCTGCACCGACCCTGGGCGCTGCTTTGCATCAGAGCCGACCTGTGCCGACCCCTCCGTCCCCAGCACACAGGCCCTGCCGGTCCCACTCCTGTTTACGTCAGCCAGAGCGCCAAGGTCACATCCCTGGAGCTGCTCTGCAAATCCACCCCCAGCTGCATTTGCTCTAAAGATGTTAAGATTAATTTTCTCAAGAGAATTCAGGGAAAAGCTTCTGTGGTTTTTGTGTATCGTTTACTTCTCTGGGACTTGTTGGACATTCTCCAGGGATTCCAGTCCTGCACTTCGGGTAAATATTTATTCCTTGTTATTTGAAGCGACGGATGAAAGCCCCACCACGCTCCCTGCACAGCATCTCCCACTGGTTTGGAGGTGCTGGAGATTGTTAGTGCCAAAAATAGGCACTGGGAGGGGGAGCTGTGAACCCCATGTGGTGGCTGCACGGAGCTGCTGCTGTGCAGGAAGGGATGTGAGATCTGCAATCCGTGGGAGTGGGACACGGCCCCGCGGAGCCCCGGAGCAGGGCAGGGACAGCCCATCCTTATCACTGAGACACGTTTCCAGCTGTTACAGATGCTGCCCTGCTTTGGGATGTGTGAGGTCATGAAGAGAGGGCATGGCCCTGGGCAGCAGGTGAAGTGACCCAGTCCAGGATTTTCTACTGGATGGAAATTCCTCAAGATAAATTTTGCAATGGCATGATATTTTTACATCCCTCGGGGGCTGATAGGGTGTATTTTGCAATATCACACCATCTCTTTCAACACCGATTTTCCAAAAACTGCACTGTACCAAAACTGGATCACCAGTATTTGAAAACATAACATTTTCTGTCTGAAAAGTTTTAACGAGGGCTCCAGTTTGGGTTTTGTGAGATCTGAGATGTTGAACAGACACGTTCCTGGGACATACATGGCATTTGTCACATCCGTATTTTTCAGAGAAATAAAAGCAAATCCCACTGGGAAGTCACCTGCTACCTCCTGGCAGGGAATTATGAACCAGTCCTGCTAAGCCACTGCTGAGATGGGGGACACAGACCCTGCTGCTCCTCGGGGGAAGGTGTCCCTGTCCATGGCAGGGACTAGATGGAACTAGATGGGCTTTGCTGGGAATTACTGATTGCTCTAAGCACTAAAAGGAGTGGGGGCATGGTCAGGTGAGGGGAAATGAGCCTGGCAGCAGGAAGGAGAGAGACAGGAAGGCAGGATGGAATGGACACCAGTTAACCCCTCAGTTCCCCCTGGCATCCCAACTCTCAGTGTTTCCCAAGCCCTGAAGTTTCCCAAGCCCTGGATATCGATACCAGTGCCCAGCCCCAGCTCAGCCCAGCAGGTACCTGAGTGCTGAAGTGCAAACACCTCCTCTTCTCCAGCCCACATGGCTGTGTTTGTAATTAAGCTTGCTGTAATTAGTCCAGGGAGGACTGATGGAGTGGAGAGCCACGCTGAAGTGGACTCAGGGCCCTATTACCAAACCACAGGAATCTCCCATCGCTGAGATGAAAATGGACTGCTGTAATTTAGTGTTTCCTCTTAGCTGGTGTCTAATTAAAGTTATCCTGAGTGAGCAAGGTTGCCATTCATCCCTTTATCCTCTAATTTTGGGGGAGTTTTGGTAGGTTGGAGAGGCATGGCTGGACAGTAATCTCCCAGTATGTGCATCCAGGTGTTTCAAAACATTTTCCTAAATGCTGTTGGAATTAATTTCCCTCACTGGAAGGAATTTTCGTTTGAGCACAGAACCAGCTCCTGCTGGTTCTTGGTGCTTTGTCTTTTTGAAATTGCTGTGACTCTTGTGCTTCTCCCTGCCTTTTGTGTGGATGGGATTATAGGGAAAGTCTTTGTTAGCAGCTTAGCCACTTCATCCCTAAGCTCATTTGTACTCTGGGATGAATGCTGAGCAGCACCGGGGGACACACTGCTGGGTTGAGGTCTGCAGGAAAGCTCATGGAATCTGGGAAAGGTACTTGAGGGGGGGTCTGCCTGCCTGGCTCTGAGCAGCCAATTGCTTCAAGTGCCTACTCATGGAACAGAGCTGCTGCCTCTGTAAAGGAAAGAGCCAGGGGGATCCTGACAGCACCTCAGGGGTGAGGGAACCTGGCCCGTGTTCTGGAAATGCTCATCTCTGCTTTGTGTGACATCCTGATCTGGGGGGCACTGCCCAGAAAAAACACACCTTGCAGAAAGAGCCCCTACACTCTCCCCTTGCCCTTTGCTCCTAATTCCTACCTTACCTTTGTTCCTGCCATCCTCTGTTCCTTCTCCTGGCTTTTCTTGCTTTCCGTTTGCCCTTCTGGAAGAAACTTCTTTGTCTGTGTAAAACCTGGAGCACTTCTCCATAACCAGCTCTGTTCTCCCTCCTCTGTTTGGTTCGTGACCCATCTCACCCTGTGTGTTTATGCACTGCCCTGCACCAGTGTTACCATCCATCACTCACAGACCTTGTACTGGGAAGACAACTCCCCATGGAGCCAACCTTCCCCAAACCTCTGCCCACGGGGTGGGGCTTTCAAAGGGTTTGGGGCAGGTACCATGCTGACCTCAATTTGTGATCCCCCCAGAGACAAGTAATCCCGCTGAGGTTATCCCTTCCATCCTTTCTGAGGTTTTCCCTTCCCAGGAATAGTCTCAGTTTGTGCCCTAACTAATGTGTGTCAGCAGCCCAGTTTTCAGTCAGAATTTTTCCTGACTTTCCTGACCGTCCACTCCAGGACAGGCCTTTGGGATTCACAGGTTTAACTCCCTGAGGGATCCCTAGCCCTGCTAATGAACATTTCTGGACAGTTTTCTGCTCTGATGCCATCATACCACAGCGAGTAGAGTTGTGGCCCTGTACTATGGCTGAGAGCAGTAATGGGACAGCAGAGATTCCATGGGGAGGGGGTCAGGAACTCACCTTCTGTCTCAGGCAAGCCGGTGTAACCTGTGCTAGTTGAGGGCATCCCCAGTGTCCTTGTCCTTGCAGTCCTCAGGCTGGTCCCCTTCTCCGGACTGGGACTTTGCTGTGTCCTGCTCAGGCACAACAGTCTTGTCAGAGCTGGCTTTCCCTGGGGGCAAAGGCTCCTGGTGTTCAGTGCCTTCAGCATCTTCTCCTTTCAGTACAAGTGCCTGCCCCTCCAGGGCAGTGCTTTGGGTCATTTCCTCCCCTCCTCTGCTCACCAGCTGTCCTTGATCTGCATCCAGTCTGTCTCCTGCTGCTGTGTCCAGCTGTTCTCCGTGGCAGTTTGAGGAGTCCTGGGAGGACTCCTGTTGTGAAACTGGGTTTTTCTCTGATCCAGCTCCATCTACATTCGCTCCCATGGGCAGGGACAAAGTCTCCTCGCTGGTGGCTGGCACAGTGCTTGGGAGGCTGCTCGCAGGAGCAGTGCTGCCAGTGCTCTCCTTCTCCTGGGAGGTGTCAGCAGTGCCAGGCTTCCCACTGGCATCTTCCCCAACACTTTCCTTGCTTGGCTTGGGCCCTGGCTCTGAGTCCCCTGTGCTGGTCACAGACACCTCTGTGCTGCAGCCCTTCACCCCTCTCCGCTCCTCCTTCTGCCCGTTGTGGGCAGGATGGACCTTCCCCCCTTCCCTTCGGAGCCGCTGGGACGAGGAGGCCCCGTGATCCTGGAGGCTTGGCTGCTTCCCCTTCTCCTCCTGCTCAGCTGTGCAGTTCTCTTCCACCCCCTCCTCTCCTCTGCTCTTCCGCTTGTCCACACCAAGGCTCCTCTGAGAAACAAAGGAGACATTTAGTTCAGCTTTTTAAAATACCAGTAGATGGTACTTCTTGCCTCTGAGGGCTCTCAAAACCTGAGGAAAAATTTGCAAAGGCCATTAAAAAGTGTGAAGGGATGTAGGTGAAGTGTTCAGGGGCCAGAATAGTTGGGTGGTTGTGCTGACAGAGGGGCAGTGCAAGCACTGAAGCTGCTGTCACACCATGCCATGTGGAGAGTGCTAATGAGGGATACACTGACCCCAAACAGAGGTCCCAGCTCACAGTGGCTCAGAGAATCCAACTTTCCTGGTAGTGCATGTGTTGGGAAAACTCAGCAGCCAGGCTGGAACTCCTGAGCTCACCTGGCCATCAAGGTCATCCTTCAGAAAAGACATGTCCTCGCCTTCTTTTGCATCCCACCTGTCAAGAAAAAAATTAAATCAGAATTTAGGCCCTCAAGTTCTCATATGGCAAAGCCACTGTCCCTGCCTGACACCTGGTAGGGATTCCTACCAGGGCCATGCATTCCTTGTCTGAGCCCCCTGTCCAGGCCCATCCAGAGACACTCATCTGAGGCCACTAAATCTTAATGAACTGGCTGTTATAATTCTAATTGTAATGAAAACATAAACTCCAATTGCCAGAACAGACAGTTGAGTTAGACTAAGAAGATACAGTTTGCTTGTGCTGGTGCTTGCCACAGTCTGGTCCTGTTTGCCTGACAGTGCCCAAGTGTCCCAGGTCACAGAGGGAGATGCTGAAGGATAAAATTGCTTTTACATTCCCAGCATCACTGGCAGATGCTTAGGGTAGGGTTTGGAAAGAGGAAAAATGCGCTGACCTACCCCCTGTTCCCTTCCCAGCTTCCAGGAACGTGTGGCTCTGGGATTTCCTGAGCCTGAGATGGCATCTCTGTTGAGTCATGCTGAGCTTAGCAGACAGTCTCTCCCAAGGATTTGTGTGAGTGCATTTTGACCCCATAATAAATTTGCAGCAGCTACAACATCCTGTGCCAAGGAGGGCCACGGCTTCGTGAAAGGCTGCGTGAGGAACTGCTTTCCTTGGCTTGTCTGAATTTGCTGGGTGAATATAAATATAAATCTGAACCTGCCCATGCAGTGCTACTGGGCAGGGAAGAGCTGAGGAACCCTTCCCTGCTTGTGTGTGTGCCTGCCGACTTACGGGTCACAAACATGGTATATATAATATACACATATATAACATATGCACATATTTCTCCCTGCAAAACATGGGTTTGCTGATATTCTGAAATTCCTTCTGTGCAAATGACTGCGTTGCTGGCAGGAGCAGCCTCCTCCCTCCTCACCAGGGTTGGTATCTTTAAGAGCAGTTGTTTCAGAAGAATTAAAGCCACTTGTATCACAGTATCAATCCCCATTCCTATCGGTTCATTTGGGAAGTATCTTTGGAGGCGGCTCCTCTGTTTCAGCCGTGCCTGGAAGCCAGACCAGATGTGTCCAAAAGCTTGCTGGGGTGTGCCCGTGGTACCCAAATCTGGACCCAGAGTAACCCGACCCCCCGGGCTGTTCTCAGAGAGCTGGTGCAGCAGGTCAGGACAGCGACGACGCACCCCACAAGTCCCACAAACCCCACCGAGGGAATTCCTGCCAGACGCCGCAGAAAGTATCTGGTTTTGTCTGTCCCTCTTCCCAGTTAGGCAAGGAGTGAGCCCAGCACGGCCCTGCTGCCAGCTCCTCACCTCCTGGCTCTGCCCGTCAGTCTGTCCTTCCCCTTGGCACGGCTGCTCACCGCGGGCACTGCCTTCGGGCCAGGGTCGCTCACGTTCACCCCGTGGTGTCCTCCACCTGCAAAACGGGTTGGAAATGCCAGGCAAAAGCAGGCACGACCAGCCTGCTGCTTCCGGTCCTCCAGACCCCTGGAGATGTCAACATCCTTGGATCCCTGGAAAGTACCTCTGGAGTGGGAAGCCTCTGAAGCTGTGTGCATACTGCACATCTGTTTTTTAAAGTCATAGATACAAATTGAGAATTTAGGGTGTTTATTCTGTGGTTTTGTTTTGTTTTGTTTTATTCCAACTTCCAATTATAGCTTTAAATCTTATTCCTTGGATATAGTCTTCCTTGTGCTGTTCTTGGAAGTCTTGTTCTCCCCTGCACACAGATATGAGAGCAGCCATGTGGTCTGTCCCCAAAAGCCACTCCAAATCTGTGAGTGCCTGGAGAGAACTCTCTCCATGAGGAGTATCAGAGGTGCTGGCATTTAGTGGGGTGGCACAAAAGAATCCTGGGGCTTACTCACCTCTGCCATCGGCAGGAAAGGACCTGTGCTGAAATTTCCTTGCATTTCTTCCCCCTGCAAGGACACAGCAAAGGAAGCACCGAAGTGAGTGAGGGTCTGCAGTGGACAGGCAGCAGAAAGGCTCATGTTCAAACAGGGTGTCACAAGGGAAAGCTTGGTTCTGCCAGTCCATCTCCTGAGCAACAGGAGTCAGGATGGACTAATGCTAGTAAAGAAGCCAGCATGTGCCCCAGGGATCAGAGATGCTGTGCTCTGGAATAGGATTGCCTCTCAAACCAGTGTTTGGGAAAGGAGACAGGGCTGAGCCTCCGGATGGTGTCGTCCCAGGTTACAGAAGCAAGTGCTGTCCCTGGGAAGGTCCAAAGCTCTAGGAAGGTCCAAAGCTCTAGCACCCAGCTCAAATCCCATCCCCTGAGCCCCCTGCCCAGCCCAGGGAGGGCTGAGCCCCAGCTCAGAGGCATTTGCCCAGGGAAGCAGAGCTTCTCAGCTGACACAGCCCCGGCAGCTGCTGCAGCACTGGGGTGCGCAGGACCAGCGCTCACTGGTGTCAGGACAGAGTCTAGGTGTCCCCTGCCAACCTTTCTTATTGCTGGGATTATCCAAGGCTGGCTCCCCATCCTTAACAAAGTCCTCTTCAAACCTGCAGGTTAAAAACAGGCATTGTCAGACCTGACCATCCTCCCCCAGTGTGCAAAGTGTGGGCAGGAGCCCTCAGCCCTTCGGCACCTGCCCATGGGCAAACCTGGGCAGGTTTCTCAGCAGGAGCTGAAGCTGCTGCACCAGCCAGGAGAAATGAGGCTGTAAGGCAATTCTACCCCAAAGGAGAGCCTCCAAAACCTTTACATCAGTACCCACATGTATATGTTAAGTTCTGTGAACTCCCTATAGGTGCCTGTAGTGTAGCTGTGCCATGCTCAAATGAAGCTTCCCAAAGCTTCCAAACATAGCCTGAAGTAGCTTTAGGACTTGTCATCTCAGATCAGACTCATCTGGTTCGTTTCTAGTCCTGCTTATTTTGTGTTATGACTTTTCTCTTAAAAATTGATATATGAGAGAGCAGTAGGGCTCAGGGCTGTCTTGCCAGCAACACTCAGCACCCACTTAAGACAGTTCACCTCTAATTATTGAGGTCTCAGTGACTGAAAATTGATGTGTTTGGTCCCATTCCTCAGCCAAAGGATTGTCCCATCTACCTGCCCTGCACAAACTGTTCTATCAGCAAACCTTGATAACATTCCCAAACTCCAAACCCTACCAGAGCCTTATCCTGCTGCAGGTGCCAAGTCATCCTCCAAAGCTCCCTAGGTGGTGTTACCCAGCTGAAGCAGCACAGTCAGGGGGACAGTGATTAAGGCAGGGATGTGTCAGTCCCATTCCCACATTGCTGTCCCCCAGCACTGCTCCTGTATCCCACAGGTGGCCCTTTGGGTGAGCCCCTCAACCTGCAGTGCCCGAACAGGCTCAGTGTATGGGAGGGGGGGGAGGATTTAGGGACGTCGGACTCTCCTGTGCTTGAAAAGGACAAACAAGCAGGGCAGTGAGAGAACCTGTGGACTGTTATCTGATCCCACATGGTCAGGGGGAGAAAGAGGCAGCAGTGTGGATTTGGCCAGGGAGAGGCACATGACAGCACGGGATGTGCTCGGCAATCAGTATCTGCACCAGATCCCACCACTGGCTTTAGGCCTCTGCAGGCCAACTCCCCTGGCACAGGGAAGGACCTACATGTGCTCCGACTTCTCCACATCCCAAGCCCGCCGCCACTCGCCCTTGGCGTTCTTGTGCCGTGCCAGGCGCTCCAGGTCAATCTGCTCCCTCTCCCTCTTCCAGCGGATGTACTCCGAGCGTTCCCGGCCAGTCAGGGGGAAACTCCCGTCTCCAGGGCTCTTCTGCACTGACTTCCCACTATCCTGGGGGAGGAAAAAGAGCTTCTGGTTAATAAAACTGCCTGAAACAGCCCCATTCAGGCTACTTTGTGCTGTCACCACTAGAAATGCTCAGCAGGATTTAAGAACAACTTGGAGTGAGCTCAGCTCCCCTCTCTGCAGTGCTGTGCACACCCAGGGCTCTGTTTCACTCACACCCCAAATACACCAGTCCTGGGCTTGCTGGCTCTACAGAGAGGAAAACTGAGGCAGGAAGAAGCTACACGGATTGCCTGGAGCCACATTGTAAATCCACAGCCAAATCACAGCAAGCAACCACTCCCTTCCAGGGATATTCATGGAATCACAGACTGGTTTGGATTGGAAGGGACCTTAAAGTTCATCTTGTTGGCCCATCCAACCTGGCCTTGGACACTTCTGGGGATTATGTTCAACAATACAATGATAATTGGTTGCAATGTATTTCTGAGAAGTTGTTCCACTTCATCCAGACTGCAGGAAGAGTTTTGACATTTCAAATTATTACAATAACTTTCATCTAAAGCCCTGGATTCTGCCATCTGGACACATTCCTGTTACCTTAAAGAGGGGGGGTGTCACTGCTGTTTCCCTAACCCAAACCACAGTGTTTCCTTGGTTCTTGGAATGCTATTCAACCTCCAGATCTGGGAAGCAGCTCGCATAAGATGTATTTTTTCATTCTAGATGTTCAGTCCCTGATTACAACCTTTTGAAGCCTGCCCCTGTAATTCCATGTGCAAATGGCCACAGGATGGGTTCACTGCATTTGTACCTGCAGCCACTTTAACTGTGGGTGTAAATTAGACAGTGGCCTTCACTGCTCATGTGAAGGTTTTAAACCCAAATGTTCTCAGATTTTCCTGGAAAAGCCACTTTGCTAAGGTTTACTTATGGCAAATAGTCAGTTCCTGGAGTGTTTGCAGCAGGGTTTGAGAGGCTGAACTCACACAGAACATGCACCGGGCTGATGAGTCCCCCCAGCCTGAAGACTTTGGCACACTAAAATCAAAGTTATGGCTATGAAATCCTTCACACTGAGAAGGTGGAAAAGGAAGCCAGCCTTCTGTGACCACCAGGCACCCATGGGAGCCCACAGTCACAGAGCTCGGGCCGACCCTGTGCCCATTCCTGGAGCAAAGGGGCTCTTCCCCTTCACTGCTGTCAGGCTCTTGGTTTGTCACTCCTCAAAAATTGAGATCTTAATGAAAAGGCAGTTCAGAGCTAAGGGAGCATGTGGGGGGAGGTATCCCAGCTGTCAGGTTAATGGATGCAGTGGAAACAGGAGCCGGCAGGCCGTGGTGTGTTGTCAAGCAACAGAGCGTAGGGAACAGCTCAGTGCAGAGCCAGTCCTGGGGTGCTAATTACCAGCAGGCAATTCATCACCTCACACACGTGTCCTTCCAGCAGCCGCCCTCAGCCCTTCCCCAGAGAGGAGTTCTCCCCTCAGCCTGTGGGGATGAAAGCGGAGCAGCGGGAGGGCGGCACAGAAAGCCCCGTTACCGAGGTGACCCACCCGCGTGGGCCGGAGCTGGGGTGGCTCCTCCATCCTGGGCTGCCAGGAGCTGGGGCACCTGAGCCCACGGCCCCAGGGAGGGAGAGAGGAGGTGAACAGAAAGGCAGGGCACAGCAGGGCAAAGCCAGGGCAAGCATGGATCCCTGGGCCGGGGCACCTGGAGAGGCTCCCCCACACTTCCAGCCCCACGGTGGGTCCTGCCAGGATGGATCCTGATGCACCCATAAAGCCAAAAGTGAGGGCAGGACTGAGGCTGGTGCCACGGTCTCTCGTGAGGGCTGGTCCCTCACCTCAGCGACAGCAGAGCTGTGGTTGGCTGGACCACAGGCCATCGTGTTCCCCTTTCCTGCTCTGGGGGGCTCAGCTGGAATTATTGTCTAGGAGCCCATCTGTGTCCTCCTAATGAATCCTGCTGAGGTGGGGTTATTCCATTTGTGCTCCATTAATTAAAGCATCTGCAGGCTCAGGGGAGCCAGCATGTCTCCAGGCTTTGCATTAAACAGTCAGTGGGAAGGCCTCTGCTTTAATTTACCTCCATCCTCCTCAGCTCCTGCAAAGTGAGGAGCTGTAGCTAATGCGGCCCGAGCTCTTCAATCCACAAGGAAATGGTTTTGGGAGAGGAACCAGTCAGGGCTGTGCTGCCACAGGGGTGAGCATGTTACCCTTCCCTGCAGCTGTGGGAGGGGCTTGAGCAGCCACAAGGCAGGTCCCTGTCACCTTTCCAGCACTGCTTTGCTCTAAGAGTGTCAACTGCTCGGTTACACTTTGGATGAGGAGCGGGATGAGCAGTGGGGGCCACATGAGAGCACACTGCTGCTTCACAGAATTACAGGAGGGTTTGGGTAGGAAGGGACCTTAAAGATCACCTTCCTTCAGCACTGTGGTGGGGAGGCACATCCTACTGGTTTCCTCTTCCAAGACAACGGTCCCCCAAAGGGACACAGGTCCCACTCACCTTCCGGCTGTGCTCACTTTCTGGGCCTCTGTCACTGTCTGATCTCCTCTTCTCTGCTGTTCTCCGCTCCTCTGCCTGCAAGAGCACAGACACAGGCGTCATTTCAAGGATTAAGGAAGGACTCCTGGCAGGGGAGCCAGTGCCTGACCCTGTGCCCACCAGGACATGTAAGAACTGCTCAGAAAAGGTCAGCAAAAGAGGAAGGATTGGTTTCTGGGGCCCTGAATCAAGCTGGTATAGAAAAAAAGGGAAATCAGAAAGCAAGAGGTATGTGAGAAAAGCATTCCCACTGGTCCCTCCCTCCTCCCAAGGGAGAGGCCGAGAGCCGTCCTGTATAGTCCCATTTCTTTCAAAGTCAGACCAAGTTTCAGATTTGGGCCAAAGACACAGCTTATGATTCAACTGCACAAGATCTGGGATCCCACCTAAGGTGCAGCTAAAAGCCAGCATGGTCAAGCTGGGAGTGATTTTTGTCCTTGGCAAACATGGGTGCCCTTGTACCGGGATCCATCCCTGCTCCCGCTGGGTTTACCCATGCTGTCACCTCTCAGCAGAACAGCCTGCAGAGCACAGAGATGTGTTAGGAAAGGCTTCCTGCCTGGCTGGATGGCTGTGGGGCCAGGGGAGTGTGGGCTGAGCTGCCATTGTGCAGTGCCAAGCAGAACTGAAACACAAAGAGGAACATGGAGCACGAACTGCCAGCTCAGCCCTTCCAGAAAGCAGCAGCACAGTGGGATCCAGCCCAGGCTGGAAACAGGACTTTTATTCCAGGCATTTGGCAGTCCCAGGTTTAGTTAGACAGGGTTGGATGCGGGAAACTCAGGATATCAGTCTCAATACCTGCAGCTCTGCCCAATCTCCTAAGGCAACTCATCCCGCTGCCGGCTGTTCCCACATACCCGGTGGGATCACGGAGGGAGAGAGCTGGGGACAGGCTTTTGGGGGCCTGCCCACACACGCTAAGTCTGAGGCAGGTGGGAAGTGTGGCCATACAGCCACTGCTCAGGGACACTGCCCTTGGTGCACAACAGCTTCACCGGGCTGACTGGTAGCTCCAGTGTGGATGGAAGCTTGTGAAAACAGATCCTTGGAAATAATGAGGAAAATGGTAGCTATACTGTCCTGGGATTTTTCAGCAAAGATTTTGGGGGTGCTCAGAAAAGCCACTCCTCACCATATCCTGTGTGCAGCAAAAGGGGATATGGTGAAAGATGATACCAACGATTTATTTCAAAATGTTGCTGTGAAAACTTGTATCAACAAAAACGCTCCCTCTGGACTCCAAGTCCCCTGCTGGTGCAGCCCCACGAGAAGAACCCTGTAGTGAGGGATCCAACGAGTCTCTGCACCCCAAAACTGAGCATTTACAGAGCGATTAAACAGCAGAAACCTGGAAAGCTTGCTTATTTAGGGAGCTGGCTGGGAGCAAGGTGCAGAGGGGCCTTTAGCCTTAAAGCAGCTTCAAGTGAAACTAGAACTCCTTTTGGAAAGGGGACAAAGGGGTCAGTTACTGCAGGAGAGCCAGAGCCCCTCCATGTGGAGGGGTGTGGGGGCAGAGATGGGAGAGAAGGAGCACCGTTTGCCTTCAAAATGCCCGACAGCTTATGATTGATGGGGAAACAGCCAGGGAGCTGCAGGGCCGTGTGTGCTCCCTGTTCCAGCTGAGTCTGCCTATCGCCCCCCAGGCTCATGCAAAGAGTGATTCCGTCTGGCCCCTTTACAATGCCCGACTGTGCCCCCAAAGACAGGAACCGGAAAGCCGGAGCACCCGCACAGCCGGAGCGCTGAGCCAGGCCGTGAGTAAGCTGGGGGGAGCAGTGAGCTCTGCCTGCAGCCAGCACAGCTTCCCTCCAGCCCTGGAGCAGCCGGGAGCCAGCCAGTGCCCAGGGAACCCGCAGGGATGGCCCGGGTGAGGGATCATGCTGTGGCTCACGGGATACGGGGGAACAGGCAGCTCCTGCATGGCTGGTCAGTGCCGGAGACCTGCATCCCAGAGGCTGTCCTGGAGACCTGCATCCCAGAGTCCTGCATTCCGGAGACTGCATCCCAGAGAATGTCCCAGAGCCCTGCATCCCAGGGCTGTCCCGCTCAGAGCACTCGCTCGTCAGTGCCCTCCACAAACCGCTGGGTCACAGGGACACCACACAACCCTCCACCCCTCTGCACCCTCACTCCAAGCCATGCCTTTGGCTTTAGTCTGCAGCTATTTTTGCTTCTCAAAGGGCCTTGTGGAAAATTGAGAAGACCACAAAAATGTAGCTCTTTTGTACCAGGACAGCAGGTCTGAGCTGAGCAGAGAATAGCCAGCTTTGCTCTGGCTCTGGCTCCGGAGCAGATTTCCCATTGTCCTGCTGCCCCAGAGCTGCTGCTCCCCTCTCACCACACACCACAAGGAAGCAAAACATGTTTTTCTCCTTCTTCCTCCTCTCCGCCCCCAAAATTATGAAAAATGACAAGGACATCATCATCCCTCGTGTAACTGTTCCTGCAGAGCAGGGGGAGGGCACAAAAGCCTGAGGCAGAGAGGGAAGATTATGGTTGTTTATCCCAAGGTTTATGCCAGGATTTCTCAGCTTCTCAGCCCGGGGTGGGGCAGAGCCTGCTCTGACCCAGGACAGAGGTCTGTCTGGCCTCCCAACACATATTCCCAGGTACTGTCCCTGGGCAGTGGTGACAGTGCTGGTGCCATTAACCAGCCACGTTCAGCACTGCTTTGTGCTCACAGTTCTCCAAAAGCTTTGACGGGCTTCCACATCTTTGAGCTACTTCACTGTCTTCTTATTTTAAAAATAGGTGCTGACAGATGAGTTAAATTAACCTTTTGGTACCCGTTTCTCCAGGCACGTGTCAGCACCACAACTGGCATTTCTGCTGCGGGAGGAGATTTTTGTAGGAGCTTAGAGCTGGTTTTCCAGTGCTCAGATCCCCCACTGGGCAGGATTTTTGAAACTAGTACACGAGAGGATTTCTTTTTTTCTGACTCTTTTGAAAAATCTGCCTCCTGATTGTGCTGCCTGAAGGGAGCTAAAGACTTCTCAGCCACCCTTTCTGCCTATTTTCCTCTCCCACCTGCAATGGAAAAGCGAGTGTTTCTCCTGCCACAGGTTTGGTTACTCTCCTGTGCAAGCACTGGAGTCCAACACATCTGTGTTAGTGCCTGAAAGCAGCTTTTGTGTCTCTTGATTACAGTAATTTCTGATACACCATCCTGGGAAACTCTGTTAATAAAAGGACAATTTAAAAGCCCTGAAGCTCTATCAACCACCCACTTAAGAGATGATTTGTAACCTGTTAATTAACCATTGTGCTCTGCTGGTCCTGGGCTGCTGTCTCTCAGCTCTGGCGTATTAATGAGCCTGAAACACTGCCAGAGCATGGAGTGGCTTTTTAGGGCTGAACAGGAGGCACTGTCCCCAGCCCTGCTGCAGGGAGAGCAAATGTGCCAGTGTCCAGGCTACTGAAGGGGGAGTGACGGATGTGATCCTTTCTCCTAGGCCTCTGTGGGAACCCCAAAAGAGCAGGGAACCAGCTGGGGCTTGAGGTGAAAACCCCCAAAGGATGGCCTATGCTGGGATGAATGAGAGGATGAAAGCTAATCCTTGAATTGGGGGTCCCAGATCAGGTCCTAACACTCAGCTAGACAGATGACAACACTGACCCCCCACCAGGCTCTCCCAGTAGCTGCTCATTCTGGGGATGAAGGTGGAGTTTCTCTTTTGGATTAACAACTGATTAAGAGGTAGAAAAGAAAAAGTGGCAAGGAAATGGCGGTTTCCATGGCAGAAGATTAGCAGGAGTGTGCCACTGGAATATGTGCTGCTCAACATGCTCATAAATGGTCTGGAAAAGGAGCTGAAGAGAGGGATGACAGTTTGCTGATGCTACTAAATCATCCAGGGCAAAGAATGTAATTTGCCCGGAAAGAGCTGCAAAAGATCTCTTGACATTGAATGTCTGCATCATAAAATTACAGCTGAAATTCAATATCAGGAACACAAAATAACTCCCATGGAGAAAATGCCCTCCTTGTGTACACACACAGAGTAACCAGCACTGAGCTCTGCCTAGCAGCCAGGGATGATGTTTTGGTGCTATTGTGACCAGTTCTCTGAAAATGTTAGCTCAGTTATTTAGCAAAGAAAATGCAAAGTTGTTGGGAGAAGAATAGAGAGCAAGCCAAAAACATTGCTGTGTCACTGAGTGTGCCCAGGAGAGCCCGCAGCTGGAATGCCATGTGTACTTCTGGTCTGCATGTGCTGAAAGAATATGGTAAAAATAAGCAAAGCACAAATGGGGATAATGAGAGTGATTGGAAATATAGGACCACATCCTCGGCAGACATGGCTAAATAGAGGCAGCATCTTAAGGTTTATGAGGTGGCTGAAGGGAGACCTGACAGGGATCGATAAAATCATTTGTGCTTTGGGAAGTGCCCAGGGGATGATCTATGAACTGCTTCCCATGACACAGGAATGGCAAATGGAGCTATCAGGGAGCAAGGCTGAAGAGGGAGAAGGGATGGATGTTCCAGCCCAGCACATCACTTAACACTGCAGCTCCTGGCTGCTTGGAAGGGATACAGTTTGGATGGACTCAAAGAAGAAAAAGAGTGCAATTTAGGCAAAGAGAAGTCCATCAAGGAGAATGATGCTGTTCTTGGCAGAGGAGGGCCCTAATTTGTAGGATGGTGAGTGTAGGAGGGGAGGGATGACTACAGGCTTCCCTGGTCTTCTATTTCCCTGACTCTGTGCTGCTGCTGCAAATGCTCCATGTGCACCACCCCTGTGGCACAGTCATTCCCTGCAGGCTACAGTCATTCCCACAGGTTTTGTACATTTGGTGTTGTTGCCTCTTCAGGCAACAACTGGCTCCCAGTCCCTCCTGGAGAACACATTCCTCTGCAGCACAGATGTGAGACAGACCTGCCTGGGCTCAGTTTTCAAGGACCCTCACTGATAGTGAAGTATTTGTTTAAAACACTAATCCCTGACACAGCTTAGGATCAGCTGAAGGGACAGGGTGGGCCAGCCCAAACCTCCCCGGACTCCACCAGCCCAGGCTGGCACCATGTGTGAGATGCCAACATGACCTGTCACTTCAGCCCCCATCTGCTTCTGTCACTGATCCCGGGAAAAGGTTGCCCAAGTGTGGACAGAAGGAAGCAGCTTGCAGAGGTGACATGAAATCCAGCATTTCACTCCCTTACAGCCACATCCTTTCCTCTCATTGCAAGGATTTGGGTTTTGTCCTGGCTGCTGGAGCTGTTGCCTGAGGTGACACAATTAACATGGCAATAGGAAGATATCCTCATTAACCAGGGATGGAACAGGGCCTGATCAGCCCAGGGAAATCACCAGGAACAAGGAATTCTCCTGAGCTCAGCTGGACTCTGAAACATATCCAGCTGGTAACAGCTATTGGAAACCAGAGCTTCAAACACTTTTATAGCTCTTTCTGAATTGTAAGAGGAATCCAAGGACCAATAACAAATACTCCCATGAAAGCCCAATTTAAATAAGCTCATTAAGAGACCCTTCCTGCCCCTTCATTTCCCTGCCGTGGGAGCTGGGCTCTGTGGCAGCCCCAGTGCCTGCTCCCCGCCTCCTGTGCAGCCTGGTTCCCTGGAAGCATGCTGCTTTCCAGGGAGCAAGAGCTTCCCACAGGCTGGAGTGGCTATGCCTAAAGCTCGGTGGCAGAAGCAGGGGACATTTTGTCTGTGCCAGCACAAAGTGTGCTGTGCTCCTTGGAAGTGTTGGATAACTAGAGTTACATGAAGCCCCTGTGGCTTTCCTGTGCTCCTGACAGATCCTTCTCTTGCTCAGCCAAGGCAATGGAGGACCCAAACAGCTCTGCATAATCCCTTTCCCTGAGGATATCAGCACTGGCTCCCCTTTGGCACCTCACAGCTTCCCTCACAGCCCACGGCTGCCAGAAGAGTGCCCGAGCTTCAGTGCCACCCTCTGCCACCCACCAGCTGGTGCCCTCATGCACACTCTGAATATCAGGTGCTTTGGGGCCAGTATGAGCAAGGCATCGCCAAACTCCTGTACTCAGCCTCACATTTCATGTTCCATAATGAAACCAGATGGGAGGTGACCTTTTCCAGGGCTGTCCATACCCTTAAAGGAGAGCACAGGATCTGAAGCCAAAATCCAGGCACTGCTCCTGCTGCTCTCTCCTAGCACAGCCCCAGCCTTGATGACCACAGAGACAAGTGTTTTAACAAGCCCAGCAAGAGCAGAAGTGGAGACACTTGTCCTGCACATCACAGAAGCACATTGGACAGCCTCAAGGACAGGGACAGCACAGGCATGGCCAAGTCACTCCCATCATGTCCAAGTGTGCTGGTGATTCCCAGACTGAAATGGTAGTGCCTGTCCCATGGACCTCTGGGGCTACCAGGGGCTCAATCAGGCGGCTCACACGAGGTTTGTGGCATCCAAAAAGCTGCTCGGCAGCCACAGGGAAGGAGCACTCAGAGCCCAGGTAAGCCCTAAGTGGAGGGAGAAGCTGAAGATGAGTGTGGGCAGCAGCAGCAGATGGTTGGCACTGCCCCAGAGAGGGGGCTGCAGACGTCTCCCAGCATTCCTGGGTGTGTTTGGCAGCCACTCCAAGTGTTATTTTCCTACACAGGCTTTGCTGACCCTGTTTGCTGCAGGCATTCTTTCTTATCTGTGAAAACTCTCCAAGAGGAGAATAGCACATGCCTCCGTGTGTGTAACGAGGAAGGTATTTGCAAAGAAGTATTTGAAACACGTTTCAAAGATATGTTTCAAACATCACTCAGCAGGTGATGGCCAGGCACAGCAGGACTTGGGTTCAGAAGCAGATACTGCTCAGCTCTGTTAAGGTTTAAGTCGTGCAGTGAGTCAGGAGGACACTGCTCCTGCCCCAGTCTGCTGTGTGGCCCCAAAAAGAAGCTGGCAAGAGAGAGAAGGTGAGATTCATGCCCCATATCTGGCAGTGATTTCATCGATCCTCCCAAAACAGCATCTCTCTATGGATCCAGTGTCTCCACACTATTAACACACAGTCTCTCCCAGCCCCCTGTGGCTGGGCCTTCCTCATGCCAGCAGAACAAGTGGATGCCACAGCTCGGTTACAGCCACGTACCTTTTCCTTGTTATCCATGGTGATGGCAATCTGCATCCTCCTGCCCCGCCGGAAAGCCACCAAGTGGTCCGTGTCCTCCTCGCCCAGCTCTGGCACCCGGCCCGGGCCGGGGAAGCTCTCGGCACGTTTCTCGCTGACGATCCGCTTGCCCTGGGGGGACAGGATGAGTTAGGGACACCTCCAACAGCCTTCCTTGGACAGTGGCCATCCCAGGCTGCAAAGGATCCAGGGCTGGCAGAACAGAAAATGAGCTGGGCAGTCAGTCCCCTTGGCTTACAGAGCTGCCACCCCACTCAAAGGCATCTGGGATGTTACATTACGGAGGTGTGTTTAGCTGGGCACAGCACAGGCAGGGTGGGATTTACCTTGCAGCACAGACACTGCTGGATGGTTTTATTTTCAGCTTGTGTTTGTGTCTTTGAAACAAATGTGAAGTTGTCCCCACCTCACACACAATAAAATGTGAGGCTACCTCGGAGCAGAAGCCGAGAGGGTGGAAGAGGAAGGGAACAGTGGGGTTCTCCCCAACCTTGCCCACAAAGCAGTTACTCCCCTGAAGTGTATTAACGCTCGATAATTTATCATTTCATAGTCATTGTGTGTTCATATTTCTGGAATGATTTATCCAGCAGTGGAATAGTTTAGGAAACTGATATATAAACTCCTTGAGCAAGGGCAGTTCCCCCTCTCAGATATTATTTCCAGCTGTCCGTATCAGCGTCATGACTTCCCTGCATGGATTTCCATATGGTTCCTATTTTGTTAATGATCTTCTTTGCTGGCTGAGCCCCTGCCAATGCCCTCAACCATCACTTCCACAACATGAGCACATCATTTGTGCAAAAAGACATACTTCTTCTCATTTAAAAGTATCATCTTTCAGGTCCATCATGTGCCTTTTTATTTTTGCCTTACAAGGAAATGAGAGACTTACTGTGTCATCTCCATCATTACCTCTGATCTTTTTCTTTTCTCTTCATCTGCATGAAGTCTGCTCAATTTTACCAGGGATGAAGGAACCTCAGCAGCTTCCCTCTGTAAAGGATGGTGTGTTTTCCTGTTTTCCTCCTTGGGATTCCATGCATACTGGAATCTTGATTTTAAAGGAGCTCAAAATCTCCAAGGAAACTTCAGTGAAACTTGGGAACTCTTTGTTGCTACGAACTTGGTTTCAAAAACAAACAGCACACCCTGACCTCTGATTTGTAGTGAAGACTTGCAATCAAGGACTCTGCCATGACATATGATACCAAGAAGGCTCACATTAGCCTCATCTCCCCTCAGCTCTGCCAGGAGTGCAGATGTTGGCGTGGAGGGAGCCTTGCTGTGCACAGCCTCCGTCAGAACAACCTTTTTTATGGCTTCTCAGTCATCGAACCTCCTAACACATGAGAAATGTCTGAGGAGACACTGCAGGATTTCCAGCAGCAGAGCCTCAGCCTCTGGTTTATTCATCTTTCACATCTGGGTGATTTTGGCAGCCTAGCAGAGGATGCAGGGGAAAGGAGGAGTGGTCCCCGCGCTGCTGATGGTCCTGCCTGTCCCAGCTGTGTGGACACGGTGGGAACCTTGTTACACATCCCCTTGAGGATGTACAGCTCTACTTTTGGGTCCCAGCTGCAGCTCCTAACAAGTTTTGCTGCCCTCAGGACGACCTTTGCCGTTTCTGCTTTTCTTGCACTAAGTGAAGCCACATGTTGGGTTCAAAGCAAGGACGTGCTGCCGAGGTGTCCTGTGCCATTTTAGCACCGTCCGTGCCGATCTCTGTGTCGGGGTCAAGGCAGGCTCCTGCTCTGACATCTGTGAGCCAGCCCTAGAGACGGCAAGGTCTGTTCCTGAGGCAGAAAAAGCTGATCGTTTCAGGATGGAGCACAACTCGTTTGGCATCTGCCACAGGCAGACGAGTGGGTGTCACAACATGACAGGCGGCTGCGACACTGCAGCGGAGGCAGGGACTGCCTGGTCCCTACACTACAGTCACAGCTGGAGGTTTCAGGGACCCTCTGTTCTGAGAAAAAAAAAAACAGAATTTCCCCCCTCACATCAGGAGAGGGTTTGGCTGTGCTGGAATGAGATTTCATTTGAACGGGATGTTCACACTCCTGGTGCTCTGTCTGGAACAAAGGGAATGAGAGGCCTCTGTCCCTTTCTCCTGAAAAATCATTCAGAAAGGTGCATTTTTTCCCAAGCGATTCAGTTCCTTCAAGGTAACATAAAATGACTTTCTAAAGGCACAGTGACTGTGGCCTATTTCTCCCTGGAAAGAAAGGGTAACTAGGTCACTGGGAAACAAATGAACAGGCATTCGAGGCACAAAATCAGGAAAACATTTCCAAGCTGCCTCAGAGGGAGAAAACAGCTCCTGCCTTTTGCTGACAGCCAAGGTTTGCAGCACTCCTGCCCCAAAGTCCGGGGCAGCAGGAAGGGTGGGGCTTCTCTTCCTTATCCCGGGGAATGGCTTTGGATTGGACCTCAGTGCCACAAACCCACACGTCACTGTGTCTAAAAGGGGACCCACGGGAGCACCACTTGCTGCCACCCTTTCCTTTTCCCAGCGCTGCTGTGACAGAGACAAGAATCATCATATCTGGATGCACAGGCTCCACAAGGAAGGGGGCAGTGCCCAGGAGGGGACGTCTCAGGATTTAAAAAATGAAGTAGCGTTTTCAATTACTTTTGCCTTTTCACACAATTTTTAATTAAGTCTGCAAATACTGGGTCACACTTCCTGCCCATCTCATTGGCAGCTGAAAGCGACACTCATCTGGTTTTCCTTCTACATTCAGGATGTTCTGGAATGCAGTATCAGAGAGAAATGATGCTGCTTTTACCACCAAGCATCACTGCCTCCCTGGGAATAGCTGGGGAATAATGCAACTAAATCTGTCTGAGCTCCCACTTGTTTCCAATCACAGCAACAAAGTTTAACACCAGAGTGGCCCAGAAGGGCAACAAGGTGACTGATCCCTCGGAAAGGGACCTGGCTACCCATGGGTGGGTGTGGGGAGCCGCCAGAGGGTTTAGCAAGGCCCAGGGTCTGATCCCTGGGAATCAGAAATGGGGAGGGAAGTGTGTGGCAACCCGAAATGAAAACTGAGGCTGTGCTGAAGGTTTGAGAAATGAGAGAAAAGGAGCAGGAAGGGAACTATTCCCTTTGGATGTGACATGCTGAGCACAAAGCTCAAGTGAGAGGCAGAACACAAGCCCCTTTGTCAGTCAAGAGGCCACAGTGTAAGTGGAATCCTCCTCCCTGCTCACCTTTGCTTTGTTGTCCATGGTAACAGCCAGCTGCATCCTCTTCCCCATCCTGAATGTGAACATATGATCTGCTTCCTCCTCCTCCTCCTCCTCACTGCCAATGCCGAACCCAGTGGTCGTAGGACAGGGGCTTGCCCATTTCTCACTCACCACCCTTTTGTCCTGGAAAACGAACATTTCTCTTAGCAAATCCAGGCCCTTGGCTCGGGGATTCGATTCCCTTCCCCAAACACACCTGCACACAAGCGGGGAGGTGGCTGCGGAACAGGCAGACCTTGCCCCAGGGAAGTTCCCTGTGCCCGGCAGGGTGCCGTGACATTCCTGGAGAACAAGGGGCTCCTTGTCTGCTCAGCAGCAAAACCCACAATTACAGCGGGGCTGAAAAGTCCTTTGCACTTACAAATCTGACATTTCAGACTAAAATGCCAGAGTTATGGGAAACAAATGTCATCCTCAGCTCTTTGTGCCGCACTCTGAGTTAGCTCGGGAAAGCCTAAGTCCTGCTGGAGGTGGCCTTGGAAGCCAAGAGGATGGCTGAGGGTGGTGCTCACCATCGGGAGGGCTGGGCTATCTTGTCCATAGTGTTCAGTCTGGGTAATTGCATCTTTCAGGTCCTGTATGAGAGAAAAATGTGTGCAGCAGCAGCACGCCCCGGGAGAGGCGAGGGCCAGGCCGGGGTGGGAAGGGAGCACTGGTCCAGATCCAAGAACCCAGGAATGCTGGAAGGAGGCTGGGCAGACTCAGTGGGCTCCATGTGAGCCCTGGCAGAGGAGCTGGCCCAGGGGTGAAGGCAGAAGTGGCCGGTGGCTTCCCAGGCCCCACGCTGCCAGGCTGGGTGGACAGGGCTTGTCAGACACAGATTTGGCTCAGTTAGGATGGAAGCCTGGAACTCGCAGCCTTTGGCCCAGGGCCACCTGCTTTGTTCACTCCCAAAGCCTAAGGAGACCATGAATTTCCTATGGCATTCCTGATGCCTCCAGTGACACACACACCGTTGATACGCTCTGCCTACAGATTTGCAATGATGCTGACACCTGAGACCTGTCCAGGACTGTGTGCCTGTTCACACACCCATCCATCTGCCTGGTAACTCTGCCTGCATGGGTACAAGTGCCTGGGCACAGCTGGAAATGTATGTGCAGCACCTAAAATCACTCTGAGCACACACCTCTGCAGAGTTTCCCCTCCTGCAGAGTTTCCCCTCCTAAGCTGCTGGGCTTAGGAGCTGTGTCCTGTGGCTCAAAGGGCTTTGGTGTGGAGTCTCTCTCTCTGAAATGTCCCTTTGCTGTGGCAGGACTGGAGTGAGAGCTGGTCTGTCGTGAAGGAAAGGCAGCACTTACGTTGTGAGCTTTGGTGATGGTAATAGTGAGTCCATCCTGCTTGGGTCTCCTGGAGGTAACAGCCATTCCCTCCTGCTCTGCTCGCTTTTTGTCCTCTTCTATTTCCTGAAACACAGATCTCACCTTACCACCAGCCTGTCCCTGGATGTCTACGGATGTTGTTTGTTTTCCTGTTTAGGAGTTCTGCTAAACAGACACACCTCCCTCTCCAAGAGGGAGTGGCCCAACTTGTGTCCCAGCTGTGGGACACAGACAGAGGAAGGTGGCAGGGGGAGAAGAGATGCTGCAGCACTGAGGCATCAGTGTCTGTTCTCCAAAGCAACTCAGGAGCCGTAGCCAAAGGCAGAGCTGTGCCCACCTGCCCCAAGAGCTTTCCAATATAAACATGGTATTTGTATAACAAAGTCATGCTGATAGTGCTGACAATCTTTACACTGTGAGCTGAGGACCCCAAGTCAGAGCAGGGGAAGGGAAGGACCTGTGGACTCACCTGGTACCTTCGGATCAGCGCTTCGTTCTTTTTCCGCAAGGCCAAGATTTTCTTATCGAGCTCAACATCTTTCTGCTCTTTCTTCCTTAACACGACATCATCCACAGCAGCATCCTGGAAAGAGAAGGAGCAAAGTTCTCCTCAGTCATCACAGCAACAGGATGAAACCTGCTCCTTCTGTCTGGACAGGGTGGGAAGTGGAAGAATCCTTCCCCACCACTTCTCTCTGACTTTTTCCTGACAGAACTGATCTTTTTTTTTCTTATAGTTTTTGTTTAGCAGTGAGGTAGTTTGAGCAAAAAGCTGCTGGCCCACTTTGATGGCTATCAGTAGGCTGCAGGGTTAACATCCTGCTTAGCTGCATGCAGTAAATGATCCTCCCCTTTGGCTGTTCTCAGGCACAGGTTCAGATGTCCTCCACAGACATTCAGAGCACCTTGGTTACCGCAGGGGATCACAACTGGGAGTTTTTACAATTCTAGTGACAACAGTGTCTAATGAAAATTAATGCTGATGAGGATCTCTGCAGGACACCTCTGTCCAGGTGGGACAACAGGGGCATTTAAAGCACCTCCACACATTTTCCTGCTGGACAATGGAGTTTTGTCAAGATCTGCGGGAGAAAGAGTGGCTTTTCCATTGCCCTTCATCACTGGGTACACAGCAGGTGAGCAGATTGCCTGTGTGGGTGGATACACTTCCATGGGCATTTTGCAAGGCTGATTAAAGCCAAATTCAGTGTTTACCTGAACAGAAGCTGTTCTGGGAGCACTAAATTGGCGGGTTTGCTGTTTGCTGAGTGCTGGGGTGTTGGCTGCTGAGGGTGGGATCAAAGTGGTGCCTGCCCTCAAACACACCCCTTTCATCTTCAAATTCCTTTGAAGGAGGACTGGCAGAGCTGCCAGATCAGGAAGAATTTAAAAATTCCTGCAAAGACTGTATTTGTGCTCTTCTCTTTCCAAAGCAAAAGATGGAAAACGCCTGTCAGGCCGTTCTCCCTCTGCCCATTTGTCAGCATTTTGTCTATGCTGCAACAGGGCTGCTCTCAGGGGGAGGAGGGTCTTTCCACTTCCAGCTGGAAACAAGTTACTGGAAGGAAAGTTTTGCTGGTGTTCAGCACTTCTCCTGGCCTTTATTAACGAGGCCATGAAGGTGTTTCTCTCTGCACAACCTGTTTCAGCAAATGCTGGGGCTGTGGCCGGGCAGTGGCCCCGTGGCCGAAGCGCTGAGCGGAGCCCACGCCGGGCTCCAGGGGCTCACCCATTGTCCACTTCAGCCCAGTCAGCATTTGCTCGTCTGCTGCCGGCCGGGAGCAGGGGCCGTGCCCTCTGCTCCGCTTCTGGAACAAACCCGCCGGCCCAGCCCGTGCTCAGGCTGATGCTCGGGATGGAAAGTGGCCCCACCGTGCCCTCCCCGGCGTAAAGCTCTTCCGGGGAGCCAAGGTGCCCGTATGTCACCGCGGCTGAGTTATAAATGGCTTTGGCAGCACAAACGTGCGATGGCTTTGAATCAGCAAGCGGCTGAACCCAAAGCCTCCCCAACAGCAGGGCAGAGCCGCAGAACGAGAGGCCTCATTCTATCGCAAATAAAAATGTCACAAAAGGAGCAAATGGAAAGCTCTCGGCTTCGTGCTTCAATGGAATGACGACAGCCCGTTGTGTCCCAGCCCCTCTCCCCAGTGGCACACACTGGCTACGCAGCTCCTCGGGGGCTGGAGGGACGCTCCGCTCCACACTGTCTGTGCGTGTAGTGCTTTCCCACACACTTCCACGATCGCCTGCCTCTGCAGCGAGGCCTTGGAGGCAGCAGGGTTGGGAGAGCGAGCAAGGCAGGGGGCGGGGGGGGAGGGAAAGGAGAGAGGAGCAGGGCCCTTACTAACACTCTCCTGCGTAAGCAAATGCATCCGCTCTTTTTAAGAAATATCCTCTTCCTTGACAGCTGCAGCTGAAACCCTCGCTGGGATAGACACCATCCAGCACTGCCCGCGTTTCTGTTTGTTATCTACCTCCCGGCAGGCACATTGTCCTGAGCCGGCCACCGCACCCTGTCCCAGTGAGGGACGCAAAGCCCAGCACCCAAAATGCGCCCCCAGCACCGTCCCCGTGGTGCAGCACGGCTGTTTGCTCCCCTGCCTGCTGGCAGCCAGGCGAGGCAAGGCAACGAGAAAGCGACAGCCACCGCAAGGCCACCCTGCAGGGTGTGCGAGTCCTTGCGTGGCCCCTCGGGTGAGGGACCCCGGCCCCGCGCCCCTCCCAGGCCCCGCGCGGGCGGCACTCACAGCTCGGTGCATGTTGGACATCGGCGCAGCCCGGCGGATTCCAGAGCAGAGCTAAAAGAGGAGAGCCATCAGACGGCCTTTCTCAGCACTGGTTGCACAGCATACAAGATCATGTTTTGATTACAAAAGCCTCGTCTGGGCTCACAGCCAAGAGCACTGGCTGCCTAATATACCAAGCACAGACAGGGTTTGGAGTGCCTGTGTCCTCCTCTCCAATCTCACTCTCTTTTTAAAAGAAACACTCCCCCTTTTCCCCCCTCCTGACTCCTTTTAACTTCCTGATGCCACAAGCCCTTGTTCAAAGTGGGAAAAGCCGGGCGAACAATGTGGGATGGCTCAGGCAAACAGCTTGGCTTGGCTGCGTGGCCATTCACGGGGTCGTTGTTTGTTATGCATGGCTGGCTGCACGCCTGGCGGGTGGCGAATATCTGGGGTCCTGCACGTCTTGTGAGCGCCAGTGTGTGCACGAGCCTTCCCTGGAAAACAGGGCTCAGACTTGCCTTTTTCTGTTTAATTTCAGCATTCTCCAGGAATGATTTCTCTGCTGTTAAACTGGGCCTGTCCTTCAGGAGGGAGCAGAGGAGTGCTGTGGGGTGGGCATCACCAGCTGGCACGATGCAGGAAGCACACAGCCAAAGGAGAGGGACCCTCCTAAGTCCCTGTCTGAAAGCTGCCAGAATCACCCCCAGAAGAGTCCCAGCAGCAGGGGGGCTTTGGGGGAACAGCATTCAGCTGCTGGGACTTGGGTTGCCACGTGAACCCTTGTCTCACCATAGAATGTCCTGAGTTGGAAGGGACCCACAAGGATCACTCAAGTCCCATTCCTGGCCCTGCTCAGCCCCAACAATCTCACCCTGTGCCTGAGAGCGTTGTCCAAACGCTCCTTGAGCTCTGGGAGCCTTGGGGCCATGACCACTGTCCTGGGGAGCCTTTTCGGTGCCTGACCACCCTCTGGGGGAAGAACCTTTTCCTGAGATCCAACCTAACCCTGCCCTGGCAGAGCTCCAGCCATTCCCTGGGGTCCTGATGCTGGTCACCAGAGCAGAGTTTGGTGCTGCCCCTCCACTGAACCTTGGGAGGAGCTGCAGACAGCCATGAGCTCTGCCCTCAGTCTCCTCCAGGCTGAACAAACCAAGTGACCTCAGCTGTGTGTCCTGGCCGGGTGCTGCATCCTCCCTCAGCCCACACTGGCTGCCCTTTCCCTCAGTCCTGAGGAACCCAGATCGAGAGAGAGGCCAACAGGAGATGAAAGCACACCAGGGAAGCTCTTGTCACCCAAGGACTGATGCACACCCCAACCTGAATGTGGGCCCTGCTATGGTCACATGTTAAACAACCCAAGGAAGCCCACTGCAGGTACTTGTCCTCTCTAACACCTTTGAGCAGGTCATCTGCTCACAAAATCCAAGAAGTTTGGCCGGAAACCCAGAGTGGTTCAAGGGAAACCTGCAAAAGACTTTGCAGAACTTGGAGTCTGGTTCCTCCTCTGTGCCTGACTCAGGCTGTTGGAGATCAGGGCTAAGGCACTAAGGAGATGGAAACACAGCTTAGTACAAGCGCTTAGAGGGACAGACTGACCCATATTAATTAGTAGCTACTTAAATGATGAAAGAAAATTGAAACCATTTCCAAGGCAGTGCCCCTGGATTCAGGCTTGATGAAGGAAATGAAGACTGCTGTGTGTGGAAAACTGGGGAAAAGGCGCAAGAGCTTTGCTAGAGCCCAAGTCCTTGTCAGGAGCTTTGTGGTGGACACAGCAGTGCAGGAGGTGCAGAGTCAAGAGGAGCTTTTCCTTGCCCTGGGAACACAGGGCTGCCTTGGGTTTGACTTTGGCATAGTCCCTTGTGAGGGTGGAGTGATGTCCCACTTTTTCTGGGCTGGTGGCAGAGACAAGGTCAGCCCTGGGAGATGCTGCTGGGCTGAGTCAGGGAGTCAGCGTTCATGGGAACACTTTGCCCATTATTCTGTCAGTGTGGTGGCCACACTCCTGGCCTCAGGGAGTCTGCACGTGCTGCCAACACCTGGTCCAGGCTAAAGCCGAGACCATTATCCCAAACTCCAAGGCCAGGTCCTGTGCACAGTGCAGGGGGAACACCGCGTGCCCCAGGGTCCGCTGTGCTGCCCATGGACCCCAGCGGCTGAGGAGGGCCCCGTCATGCCCAAGTTGTGAAGGCTTAAGCCAAGTGCTCACAAGGAGCTTCTCCAGGCCTCACAGCCATGGCATCCTATGCCCCTGCCATGATCAGCAGGGTGGCCAAGCTCTCCCAGCAATGAGCAGTCATGAGCAGGCAGGAAGATCCCTAAAATACCTCTGCCTTTACTGATGTCCCTGGAGAGCTGCAGTTCCCTCTAGGGCAGCGTCGGCTGCTCCCTCCCTCAACACAAAGAGCTGACATGTCTCAGCTGTCCTTTACCATGTCTGAGTGGCACAAATGACAAGAATCTACTTCTGCATCATCATCTGAGATCAGTGAGAAGATGAACCCTCAGTGAACACGGCGGACACAGAAACCCGGGGGCAAAAGGGCCCAACCAAGGGAGCAGCATCTGGGGCAAAACAAGCTGGTTTGGGGACGTGTTTGTGCCCTTGGGACTGTCACAGGAGAAAGCAGAGAAAGCAGAACCCTGCTGAGATTTGTGGGGTTATGTATATGCACATACATTTGGTTATTCCTGGTGCCATGGCCAGGAAGAGCTGCCGTAACACCACAGCTGTCCCCAGCTTGGGGGCTTGTCAAAAACTGTCAAAACCCCTGGTTTGCTCTGAAGTGCAGTGTCCACCCCAAGACTGTCCCTATCTCAGGACTCACTGAATCCTGTTCACACGGTCCCCCCCCGCCTCGGTGGCTGCAGCACACCAGTCCTGCTCTCTCAGGCCGTTGGTGGCACCATTTCCCACATGCAGCAGTTTGACAGAGTCCCTCAGACAGCGAGGGTATCCTGCAACCTCGTGCAACAGTGAGGATATCTGGAGAAACCAGCCTCAGTACTCACTCAGCGACTTGTTCACCACCCCTGCAGTTCATCCCTTTATTCTTTAAAATCCCAAAAGACCTTTCACAGGCAGGATGGCCTGACTCTGGGCTCCTGGTGCCAGCTCTGAAGCTGCTCAGCACAGAAGCCATGGGGTGCACCCAGGGTGGCTCAGCAGTTTCTGCTTCAGGGAAAGGGGATGTGCCAGCTCCTGCTGACCACGGGCAGCCCCTGAAGGAGCAGTCCCTGGGATGGACAGCAGCTCACCTTCAGGAAAGCCTGGAAGCTGGAGGAATTAAGAGGATATAAAGGGGTTTTTGCTGCATTGCCCTGCTGTGGCTCTGCTGCACAGGGGCCTGGCTCACTGTCCCTAAGTGCAGCTGCCTACTTGGAGGGCAAAGCTTGCCCACTCGGGGCAAAGTTTGCTGGAGATTTTTCTGGGGCAAAGGAAGGAAGCATTTTGTGCTCATGACAGTGAAACAGTCCCTTTCTGTAACTGTGCAGCAGAGCCTCTCCCTTTCAGTGTCAGCACAAAGAACCATCCCCACAGGAGTCTGGCCTCTTCCCACTCCAGGACAGAGCTCAGCACTGGCAGAAAGTTTTGCCCCACGTTTTAACAGCAAGACTTGTTTCTTCTCTGTCTCTCTGCCTTACACAAAGGCTGAAGACAAGAAACTGATTCTTCAAAAAACCCAAACCTGCCTGCCCTGAGAAGCATTTCTGGCAAACCCTTCCTCCTTTTCCTTTTGCACTACGTGAAACTCCTTCAGAGCCACTCAGTCCCACGCTGCCACTTTCCCCAAGTGCACTTCACCCAGCTTCATCCTGGCTCCTCTCCATTTTTTGCAGGACCGCTGTCGAGTCGACAGATGGCACTCGGGAACTGCCGGGAGGAGCCGGGAGCAGCTGCCAGGAGTCCACTGGAGGAGCCGAATTCTGGCTGGTCTTATCTCGGGTGTCGGGACTGCCGTAAAGCCACCGGGCCGAGTGTCAGAGCCACTCCTGCGCACGGCTGCGTGCAGCGACGGACTCACAGACCTGCCCGAGGGCCCCGAGCCGAACCGGCAATGCCCCTCCAGGCCTGGGACAGAGGGAGGGATGGGAACACGCTGTATATCAAAGGAGAGTTCCCGGCAGCCCGGAGGCATCTTTCCTATCGAGCACAGAGCAAACTTCCCCACAATTAACCCATTCATCCCTCCTTCCCTTGTCTCCCCAGCTCTGGTCCTTCACCAGATGCACTGCGGGATAAAAACGCTGGAGGTGTTTCCTCCAGCCAGGAGAAAGGTCAGCATATTCCTTAGACTGGGAGGAGGGACCAGCCAGGGATGGTAAATGGGCTTTAGCTGGAGAGGCTCATGGCGATCAGAGGACTGCTGAGACATTAATTTTTAAATGGATCGATACACAATTAAAATGAAAACTACCAAAGGCAGTTAAAGGATTCAATGGCAGTTTGGTCCTGCTCAAAAGCAGTGGGGTATATCATAGCTGCCTGTTGGTACTTCCCAGAGGGATACCAAGCATGGCACAGCACAGGAACAGCTCAGGATGTGCAGAACAGCCCTCTTCCCATGAGGCACAAGTCTGTCCCCTCTTTTCCCCCTCCCTGTGCATCATCCCAGCCTGTAGGTTCCTGCCTCAAGCCCTGTGGGTGAGAGCTGTGCCTACCCATGTTTAATGCCACCTTGAATAACTCCTGATCTCATCAGTTCTCTTGGTATTTTCTGCTCCTGAAAACTCGTCATTCCAGTGTAAGGTCTCTGAAGTGGTCATAGGCTGAGCAAATGAAAAAGGATCAGTCCTCTTAGTTCTTCCCACTTCCAGACATGCACAGCAGGGCCAATACAGGTTTGTTGACCCTGTTTGCTACCCAGCCTTCAGATGTAGGGCACAGGACCCAGCCTTGGGAGGGTGCTGGGCTGTGGAAAGTGGCCGGGACAGCCAGTCCGGCAAGTTTTTTTCATCTTTTATGTAGTCCTTGGGGAAAGGATGGAGAGCTGCAGACAGCAACTGCTCTGCCCTGTCATCAGCAGCTGCCCAGGGAGGTTCCCCATTCCAGCCCATGGCTCCAGCCCAGATCTAGGAGGACATGGACTGCCCAGTGGCCTGTCACTTGTAGCTCCCAAGCTGCAAATGAGCATGTCAGGAGCCAGCTTACTCTTGACACGATCACATGCCTTTTGTGAACTTCCAAAAGTCATGTCTGCTTTGGGGCTGCGTGGGCGGTAGTGGCCCACTTGGAGTCTGAGGCAAGAAGTGGCAAATTGGGGGCCTCTCATCCCAACCAAGCTC